CCTCAACTCTAGGGTCAACTAATCTTCGACAAAGCAGGAAAGAATGTCCAATGGAAAAAAGACAGTCTCTTCAATAAATGGTGCTGGGAAAATTGGACAACCACTGCAGAGGAATGAAACTGGACCATTTCCTTACACCACACACAAAGATAGACTGAAAATGGATGAAGGACCCCAACGTGAGACAGGAATCATCCTTGAGGAGAACACAGGCAGCAACCTCTTTGACCTCAGCGGCAGCCACTTCTTCCTAGGAACATCGCCAAAGGCAAGGGAAGCAAGGGCAAAAATGAACTGTTGGGACTTCATCAAGATCAAAAGCTTCTGCACAGCAAAGGAAACAGTCAATAAAACTAAAAGACAACCGACAGAATGGGAGAGGATATTTGCAAATGACATATCAGATAAAGGGCTAGTCTCCAACATCTATAAAGAACTTATCAAACTCAACACCCAAAGAACAAATAATCCAATCAAGAAATAGGCAGAGGACATGAACGACATTTCTGCAGAGAAGACATCCAGATGGCCAACAGACACATGAGAAAGTGCTCTACATCACTGGGCATCAGGGAAATACAAATCAAAACCACAGTGAGATCCCACCTCACACCAGTCAGAATGGCTAAAATTAACAAGTCAGGAGACAACAGATGCTGGGGAGGATGCAGAGAAAGGGGAACCCTCCTACACTGTTGGGGGAATGCAAGCTGGTACAGCCACTCTGGAGGTTCCTCAAAAAGTTGAAAATAGAGCTACCTTATGGCCCAGCAATCGCACTACTGGGTATTTACCCTAAAGATACAAACATAGTGATCCGAAGGGTCACGTGCACCCCAATGTTCATAGCAGCAATGTCCACAACAGCCAAACTATGGAGAGAACCTAGATGTCCATCAACAGATGAATGGATAAAGAAGATGTGGTTCATATATAGAATGGAATACTATGCAGCCATCAAAAGAAATGAAATCTTGCCATTTGCAGTGATGTGGATGGAACTAGAGGGTATTATGCTGAGCGAAATAAGTCAATCGGAGAAAGACAATTATCATATGATCTCCCTGATATGAGGAATTTGAGAGGCAGGGTGGGGTGTTTGGGGGGTAGGGAAGGAAAAAATGAAGCAAGATGAGATTGGGAGGGAGACAAACCATAAGAGACTCTTACAAAACAATCTCACAAATCAAATGGAGTGTTGCTGGGGGTCAGGAGGTAGGGATAGGGTGGTTGGGTGATGGACATTGGGCAGGGTGTGTGCTATGGTGAGTTCTGTAAAATGTGTAAGCCTGATGATTCACAGACCTGTACCCCGGGGCAAATAATACATTATATGTTAATAAAAATAATTTAAAAAAAGAGATTTTAGGTTCTCAGAACTTAAAAGTGGTTGAAATTGTTGTCAAGAAAATATTAAACCTTTTGATTTTGTAATTTAAAATATCGTAAAACCTATAGATACTAATGGGTTGTGATTACTAATTAGAATTTGTTTACATAATGTTCTTAGGGTCCCTGTTCTGTTAGTGGTTACAGCAATTCAGACCACATATGTCCCTAATGCATTTTGTTGCCAGGAGAGGAATTTAACGTTTCATGATGTATTGGAAAATACCGTGTTACAGTTCCCTCAACAAGAGGCTTTAAGTACATCTTACGGTTCAAATGATCCCATTCCTTTTTTTTTTTTTTAATTTTATTTATTTATTTGACACAGAGAGACCAAGATCACAAGTAGGCAGAGAGGCAGGCAGAGAGAGAGGAGGAAGCGGGCTCCCCGCTGAGCAGAGAGCCCGATGTGGGGCTCGATCCCAGGACCCTGAGATCATGACCCGAGCCGAAGGCAGAGGCTTAACCCACTGAGCCACCCAGGCGCCCCCAAATGATCCCATTCCTATAGTGAGTAGCTCTCTAGGCTGTGACAAGTCTCGCCTGTCTCATAACTGCAGTGTTATCTCCTGAGTCCTGGACGTGGGCTGTGTGTGGCAGTCTTTGTCAGAGGAGGGTGTAAACATCTGTGGCCAGATTAAACCAGATGTGAAATTCCACCCTTGAGATTGACCAAAAGTGGTATGCCTTCCTGAGTTAGCAGGTGGCAGGAATGTGGGAGAGGGACACTGGCTGCTGGGGCGTGTGCCTGCGTGGGTGTGTCTGCTGGGAAGCGTGTGTATGCGTGTGTGCCTGTGTGTGCGTGTGTGATGGGCGTGTGTGCGTGTGTGTGCATCTGCTGGTGTTTGTGTATGTGCATGTGTGTCTGCCAAGGCGTGTGTGTGCGTGCGGCTGTGTGCCCACACGTGTGCGTGCATCTGCAGCATGGCCCTCGGAATGGGCTGGGCTGGAGCCCATAACGCAGGTGGCCCCCTGGACTCGGGCACGGACTGGACGTGTGGACTCCGGGGCCCTCAGCAGGAGGAGGCTCTCCTGACGGTGCGGAGCGTCTGAGCAGGAGCCTCTGTGTTCGCTCAGCAGCCGGCTGTCCGGGAGGAGCGGCTCGGCGGTAGAGGGGCCGCCAGGCCTTCCTGTGCACGGGTCCCTGCACGGCGCGAGCACAGCTGCGGGCTGTCACGGCCTAAACTGCAAGGCCCGCACGAGCGGTGCTTGTCCCTCTCCGATTCAGGGGTGTGTGGAGAGAGGTACGCAACCGGTCGGAGCGCGACCTGCAAGGCCTGGTGGCCGCGGGTGGGATGGGGTGGGTCTAGGGATAGCCAGTGAGCTCCGCTCCTCAAGCCGAAAACCGTGGTAGTCGTCTGAGGTCGTCCCAGAGCAGGATCGTCTGCCAACGGATCCCTCAGATTGAAGAGTTTCTCACGCAGCGAACAAGGAAGAGCCCCTGCTGGGAGGGGTGTCCAGGAAAGGGGCCCCGCCCCAGTCTGCCTCCACGTCCCAGCCCTGCCGTTGCCCAGACTGCCCTCCTCCTCATTCCCCCAGCTGGGGGGCTCTAAGCACGTCTTACAGAAGGATGTTGCTGGGCTTCCGGGTGGTTTGTGTGGGGTGACCTTGTGCTGGGCCTGCAGGTTAGCCCCGTCCTGTCAGCCCCTGTGCTCTGACGTCATTTACTTGATGTGCAAAATGAGCTTTGGGGCGCCTGGGTGGCTCAGTGGGTTAAGCCTCTGCCTTCGGCTCAGGTCATGGTCTCAGGGTCCTGGGATCGAGCCCCGCGTCGGGCTCTCTGCTCGGCGGGGAGCCTGCTTCCCCCCGCCTCCGCCCGCCTCTGTCTACTTGTGATCTCTGTCAAATAAATAAATAAAATCTCTTAAAAAAATGAGCTTTAAGACGCAGTGTCATAAGAACCTCCTGTTGCTGGTGTTGACACGGCGTCGTTTGCAAATTTAAAAAAATAATGTTTTTTAGTGAATCGGTTCAGTCTTCCTAGAAACCTAATTACTAATCTGTCAACGAATCTGAAAAGTGATATGTCTTAAGTCTCCGTGCAAAATCGAGCGGATGTGCTCTGAAACACCTTTTACATATCTGAAGCAGTTGTGAAAATTTGCTTTTGCTCCAGGTATAGGTCTCTGTGTTTAGAGGAAAGTAAAAACCCTCAAAGCAAGTATTTACGGAAAATAAACATCTTTTGGTGTCGTTGGTGAAGGTGCTAATGCCGTTGGCCGGCCGGCTTGGTGGGCTCGTGCTGTGGAGTCCTGCCGTGTGCCTGCGCGGCGGTGAGACTCGGTGTGGCCCGAGGCCTGCGGCGTGCTCTGTGGAACGTGTGGACTGTGAAGGGCTCAGAAACCAACCTCCGGGCCGGGCGGACGAGGGTGGTGTTTGCGCATTTGGGGGCTATGGCGAGGCAGAGCCTGTGAAGCGGAGGAAATGCCATTGGTGTCTGTGGAGCTTGACACCCCCCCCCCGCAGGGTCCCGTGCCGGCCGCAGGAGGCGGGTCCGCTCCAGGAGCCGGGAGCGCCAGGCGTGGAGACTCGGGCAGGCTCTCCCGCCGGCACTGCGGCAGTGACCGCGAGCCTGGGAGTGGGTCTGCTGCTCTCCGGGGCGCTCAGGCCCTTCTTGGGAAGGCACGGGCGGGGCGCACGCTGCTTGCCCTCCCTGGGCTCCGGGCACCATGGCCCGTGCACACTCCCTTTTTTCTCACTGCCTTTTGAGGCCATCAAGGCAAGGCCTTTCTTTCTGTATTTTGAATTGTTATCATTCCTACTTGATTTGATTTTATTATTTAATATGTAAAATAAACTATTTTACCATTTTTGTTCACTGTCGTATGCTCAGCACCAAGGACAGAGCAGGCACGGAGAACTCTTAGCAGACACTTGCAGGAATGAGTATTTCTGTTACCCGGGTGTCCTTCCTCTTTGCTTTGTGATAAGGTCACCTGTGCGTTCAGAGAGGGGGCAGCGTCCTCCCCAGGCATTTCTCTTCCTAGAAACGGAGATGCGGTCCTCCTCAAGGAAGAAGAGTGTTAGATTGCTTTAGATTTCTTTATTCTGGAGAGAGTGTGGGTGTGCACAGGGGTGGGTTTGGGGAGGGGCAGAGGGGGAGAGAGAATCTCAAGGCGACTCCGCACTGGGGCTCAGTCCCACGACACAGGCCTGAGCGGAAACCAGGAGTCACATGCTCAGCAGACTGAGCCCCGGGCAGTGTTGGATTTCTGAACTCATTTCGCAATACAGAAATGCCGGAGCACTTAGGAGACTCTAATTGCCACAGTATTGTGGTGTTTCAGGAACTGCTCTCCCCAGACTCTGCAGTCCCCCCAGAACATTCCGTAGGCAGGCAGGCAGCCCCAGGGGCTCGGGGCAGGTTGGGGATACACCTGGGCCGCTGCACCCCTGCCCCCTGGACACGGACGCAGCCGGAGGGGCTGGTGGGTGGACGAGTCGGCGATTGTGGCCACGCGGACACCTTCCGGCTTAGACGTGTTTGCAGCCGACCCACAGCCCCAAGGTGGGTGAACGATAAACGTCCAGTTAGAGGCCTCGTCGTCCGACAAGTGCCCATTTAGCCTTACTGCAGAGGGGAACTAACCTGTTGCCTCCTTGCGTTGCAGGCGTGGTGTCCTTGGTAGCTGTCCACCCCTCCACAGTGAGCACGCTGGGGAAGCAGCTGTTGCCCAAAACATTCGGACAGTCCAATGTCAACATTGCACAGCAAGTGGTAAGGGGCCCGGGCAGGCGGGCTTGCCGGTTCTGGACGGTGGCCCATAGCTCTGGTGCGGAGGTTGGGGTGCGTGGTCTGCCCTCCGCAGTGCCCTCTCGATGTTTGCACTGCTGGGATGCGTGGGCACTCCCCTGGCTCAGGCCTGCTGCAGACACAGGCCAGGCACCGTCCCCTCCTGCTACGTGTGTCCCGCTGACCCCAAGTCTGCCCCAGAGCGTAGAGTGGTGTGAGGGTGGCAGTGCCTGGCCTTGACCCTCCTCAGCGTGGGTGTTACTGCCTGGGAAACAAGGGTGGTGTCCTTGCAGGGCACATGGTGGGCGTAGGGCTCTGTAGGCCGTCAGGGTGCTGGGACTGGAATGCCCCTGCTGTGGCCCACCCTCTAGGAGGGGGCCGAGGTGGGTCTGTGCTCCTGGACCGTGCTAGGTGCCCCACTCCCTGATCGCCTGTGGGGCTCCTTGGCTCTTCCTGGCGGACCTCTGGTCAGATTGAAGCCTCCCCTCCTGCTGGGCCTCGAGTGGCCCTGCCAGGAGGATGTTGGCTGCCCAGGTGTGCTTGTCCAGACCTGAGCTCCCACTTCCGGGTGAGCACCCGGGGCAGCCGTGCGTGTGCCTGTGTGACTGCTTTTCCCAGCAGAGTTGCCGTGATGTTTTTCAAAGCAACGCAGTGCCAGTTACACCATATTTGGCTCATCACAGCTTTTTAGTAAACATCTTTTTGATGAAGTTAAATATTTCGTTCTCTGTTTTATTCTGCAACTCGTGTTATTTTTAGCTGCCGCGTGTCATAGCAGCTTTAGCTGGGCGCACCTCCTCAGCCCCAGGGGCCACTCTGTCGGGTGGTTGCAAGTGTAGGAAGGACAGTCAACACGCAGGTTTGTCTGTTGGCGCCTTAATCTCTGTCAGCCAGAAAGTCACGTCCCTGGGCTGAGTCCGCCTGTTTCGGGGCAGCTGGTGCCGGCAGCGCCTCCCGCGCAGGCCCCAGCACTGTGAGCTGCGGCTCACATGTCGCTGTGTCTCGATCTCGCCCGCCAGAGGGTTGAGGATGGAAGGACTGACGCGTTTTGACCTTGAGGGGCGTGTGAGCTCGGCTCGCGCTCGCGAGGGGCTTCAGCCCCTGTCCGGGGAGCCGGTGCCCAGGAGCGCGGTTAGGACGGGGGAGGAGGGAGAGAGAATGGTCCCTGTCATCCAGGGAGCAGTTCCGGAGCGCCTGCTGTGTGCCCGGCCCCCTGACCTTGCTTCTTCTTGTGGGCCAGTTGCGCAGACGGGTCCAGCTTAGGGAGAGGACGAGAGCGCCGGTGCTGGCTGTGGGGGCCCAGGCCGCACGTCAGGCAGCCCTCTGGTGACTCTCCTCCCTGTCTGTGTGGGTGCTGGTGTCCTAAATCCACTCTCCCGGGAACGTCACCAACCCAGTCCCTGTGAAACGTGTTCAGTAAGTGCCAGACTGACCAGTTTCCCTGCGTCCCGAACCCTCGGCCCCGAGCCTCAGCTGACGCGCCTTTTCCACGGTGAGCCCAGGCCCCGGAACGCACGTCCCCACTGAGCAGAAACGGAAGGTTCGGGTAGTGCGTCTCCCGCCTGGAGACCTGTTCGCTTTTCTGTCCTCTTTCCGGAAAGCTTACTGTCTGACTTCACGACTTTTGAATGAACGAGGTGGCGCACAGTTTGGAAAACACTGTGATGAAACTTTAATCGTTGGGAACGTGAATTGAAAGAATGAAATGGAGAGTTTTCTTCCTGTGGTTTGTGGTCCTTGGCCCTGACCGGTGGCCTGATCTAGGACCAAGTGCCTGGGCAGCTGTCCCCTGGCCACAGGAGGCAGCACATCATCCTGCTGAGGAGGGGCCCTGGGCACGGCCAGTCCCTGAAGCTGTGTCCCGTCCCTGTGAAGGGCTGTCCCAGCACCTGGTGCCCGATGGTGGCTCGCTGGGGCACTTGGCTGTGCAGAACCTGGGAAGTCCCGTTTCTGTACTGATTCCTGGATCAGCTCTTGGGTGGGGTGGAGTCACGTACGAGACCTGAGGACGCTGAGGTGTGACTTGACGGAACACGGCAGCGTCGGTGTGTCCCTTGCGGGAATATTTGCACATTAATGGCACCCAGTTCTGAGTCCTTGTTGAAAACAAACGAGGCTCCCTTCCTCGGGTGAAGAGATGGTGCGGGGTGCTCAGACTCGGTCCCCTGCGGTGCGGGTCACGCTGCCGTCCCCAGAGCTGCCTTGCCCTGGCGTGTGGGTCTGTTGCTCCAGTGCTCATCACCCCCACGCCGCCGTGTTCGAGGTGCTGGGTCCCCGCGAAGCCTCCACTGGGACACGGCCCGCACATGCAGGTGGGCCGATGGGCACCGCGAGTGCGGGGACTTATTCCTGTTTGTGTTCTGGCGTTTAGCACCCCCGGGAGAGAGGGTTTCATCCTCGTCCGCATCACTGAACGGAAGGGAAAGTAAACTTGGGCCAGGGGAACAGTGGGAACGTGCCCTGAGGCTGGCTTTGCGGCCCCTCCTCGACCCACAGCGTCCCCGGGGGTCGCCGTCCGGTGGGCTCGTCGGGATGGGACGGTTCCTGGTGCTTTTGTTGGACCCGGGAAGAGCCCGGGAGTCGGCGAGGGGAACGGCTCGTGCCGCACAGAAGTGCCGCTGGCCGGCGTCTGGCTCTCGGTGTGGGCCGAGGTGCTCGCGCGCCCGTGTTCTCGCGGTTCCCGTGGCTGGCGGAGCTCGGCAGTGCCCGTGGAGGATGGGAAGCGGTAAAACGGCAGGGGCGCACGCGGGAGATGTCTCATTGTGTTCTGAATTGTCTCTTTTGACTGTAGGTAATTGGTACGCCTCAGAGACCTGCAGCGCCCAACACTCTGGTGGTAGGAAGCCCACACACCCCTAACACTCACTTTGTCTCACAGAACCAGCCTTCAGACCCCTCACCTTGGTCTGCCGGGTGAGCACATCGCCTAGAATCGTAACCCCGGCTCTCCGGGCCACGCGGGCCGGCCGCCACGCCCGTGGTAGACGGCGTCAGGGCGCACTTCTCGCAGAGGAGAAGTCTGGCTGCGGGGGAGCCGCTCCCCGCGGTCCGGGGGTGGCGGCACTGTGAGGGGGGCAGCTTGCGGTAGAGGAAGAGGAGGAAGCTGGCTTCTCAGCACTGCGGTGATGGGCGCTTTTTCCGTTGTCTGCACTGGAAAGTAGCGTCTAGGGCACAGCGTGCACGTGGGCAGCTCTGGCTGCCGTTCCTTGGGCGACACCACGGGAGGGTCCCACCACACAGTCACCTGGACCCTGTCTTCCCTGTAAAGCAACCTCGTGAGAAAACGATTTTACTTGGAAGTCAGCTCTGTGACTTTCCTTGAAAACAAAAACAAAGCTTTTTGGATTTACGTCTGTATTGGTTCTAAAGCAAAAATCGTGATTTCCCGAGTCATCGTGAGAAACTCAGAGCCACCCTTTCCTTGACGTGGTGCCTTAAGAAGTTGAGCCATTGGGTTTCCCGTGCTCTGAGGCTCACTGCGGTCTTCAGGGTCGGGTGCCTGCCGCCACGTGGCCGTCATGGTCTCCATACCGCTTTGGCTCACAGCCAAATTTTCCGTAAAAGTTCTTAAATTTGCGGTAAAATTTCCATAGTTCCTATGTCCGTGGACATCTTTTTAAGAAGTAGCGTTGGCGTATCAGGACGCAGTAGATACGCATCGGCGGCTCCTGCCCTTCCAGGCGAGGCCCCGTGTTTTCTGGGAGCGGATGCAGATAGGAGGCCTGGCCACTTAAACGTTGGTGTCTTGGCCCCGTGGCTGTGCCCAGTGCGCTCTACAGACGAGCTGGGTCCCCGGGGCTGCGCGTGGGGTCTCGGCCCGTGCCCAGCTTGCTAGCCTTGTGGGTGAACGTGTGTCCCCCGGGGGCTGGCGCGGGGGTGCTGAGGGCACTGCTGTTCCTTTGTGTTTTCTAAGGAAGCGGCACAGGAAAGGGGAGAAGAACGGGAAGGGCCTGCGGCACTTCTCCATGAAGGTGTGCGAGAAGGTGCAGAGGAAGGGGACCACGTCCTACAACGAGGTGGCCGACGAGCTGGTCGCAGAGTTCAGTACCGCCGACAACCACATCCTACCAAACGAGTCCGTGAGTATGTGCCGCACGGCGGGTACACACCCCGGTGCCGTACGGCCCGCCCTGGGTTTCTCTGAAGCCACTGGAGACACAGTTCAGAAAACAATCTGAAAGACTTCTGCAGACCTGTTTGCGGCACGACAGCTTATCCTCCCGGATGTGGTCGTGTGCGGGGCCTGGCTCCCGGCGGGCCGGCTCCCCGGCGCAGCTCCCTCTTCCCCGGGCTCAGTGGGGATGTGCTGGGAGCGTCCCGGACAGTGTGGAAAGCTCATGCTCCGTGCCCAGCAGGCTTACGACCAGAAGAACATACGACGGCGCGTCTACGATGCCTTGAACGTGCTGATGGCCATGAACATCATCTCGAAGGAGAAGAAAGAGATCAAGTGGATCGGCCTGCCCACCAACTCGGCTCAGGAGTGCCGGAATCTAGAGGTGACGCGGCTCAGCTTGTTTCCCATCGCGCCCCTGTACATTTGCCCCAGAGCCGGTGTGCGTCCCGAGGGTGCCTGCTCAGGGTCTGGTGCGTGTGTGCCTGGCCCGGTCCAGGGCTCCGCCGCTTGCCCACCGGACGTTGGTGTGCCGCCTGTCCAGCCTGCCTGCGCTCTGTGGGCACCGATGAGGAGGCGTCTGGCCCACCGTGGGCAGCGGACCCCAGCGTAGGAAGTTCTGAATCCTGGCTGGTGGGGTTCGAGTTTTACAGCGTCGTGTCCAGAAGACGAGAGAAGGTGGAGAGGAGGGTGCAGCGAGAGGCGGAAGAAACCCCTGTGGGTCCCGTCCCCATGCCTGGTTGGCTCTAGGTTGCCCGTTTCCCCTCGTTAGATTGGGGCAAAGGGTTCCGCAAGCTCGTCCCCAGGGGTGCTGGTGGCTGTGTCGTGACGCTGCCATCTTGTTCTAAAGGTGGAGAGGCAGAGGCGGCTTGAAAGGATCAAGCAGAAGCAGTCTCAGCTCCAGGAGCTCATCCTGCAGGTACGGGCGCTGCTCCCCGCCGGTCGGGCCCCTCCTGCCGCCACGGTGTCCCCTGTGCCCCTGGATCTGCTGCCCGGACGCGTCAGAAGGTCCCAAGCAGTGTGCTGGCGCCATGTTCCACGCTGCCTCGTGTGGGGACGGAGGGCGGGAGGGCGCGTCCACACGGCCCTTCCCCGCGTGTTGTCCTAGCTGTTAGGTGTTACCGTTGTTCACCTCCTACGGGCCCTCGCGACGAGCTGTCCTGGAGCCCAGGCGTGGGGCTCAGCACTGTCTGCGGCCTGGGCGCGTGTCCGGCGCGGACGGCCTCTGCACTGAGAGCTCGAATGTGATTTCACATGCGCCCACTGAGCTTCTGTGCGGGCACTGTAGACGTTTACAGAGAGTGTGCGTGCGCGGTAAGCCCACGGGCCGCGTGTGTGCTGCTTGTCAAAGTCTAAACGGTGGGAGGGACTCCGCTTGGAAGGCAGCGCCCGGAGCTTCCCTGGGGCAGGAATGCACTCTGAGGACCGGAGCCCAGACCAGGGTGTGAGGTGGCAGCTGTGGGGCGGAGGTCAGTGTGCGTGGCCAGTAGGCCTGTGTCTCCATCCCCTGCACCTGCAGAGGACGTCCCAAGTATGGGCGTCTTCCCTGCGGGGATCGGGAGATGCCCATTCAGGGCTGGAAGCAAAAACACAGATTGTACCACGAGCTTGCTGGAGGGCATGGCCAGTCCCTGGCCTGAGGCCGTGCAGCACTGGGGCCGTCTGGCCGGGGCCTCGGGTGGGGATCAGCCGCCGTGGAAGTGGCTGGCCAAGGAAGGGAGCGTGGGGGAGCCCTGGGACCCTGGGGGGACCCTAGCAGGGTCTGAGGATGGGCCTAGTGGCTGGTGTCAGAAGATGAAGGCGAGGTGGGGGTCAGCGGGGGGCTTGGGACATGTGCTGGCTCAGTACCCCCAGGCCATGGTGGAGGGTGTCTTGCCTCGCTAGGTGCGCTCAGCCCGGGGCACTGCAGCCAGCCCCTGTGCCCTCGCGGAGGCTTCGGGGCGGGGAGCGCTCCAGCGGGTGGAAGCGGCCTCGGGGTCGAGGGGCGCAGGAGAGGAGTGGGCACACGTCACCGGGCAGTGGTCCCTCTTTCTTCGCTCAGTTATCTGCGGCATCTGCAGCACATGGAGCTACTTGAAACCAAGCCTCATGGTCCCCCGCAGGGCACGGTGCCCCGGGGGCCAGCTGCGGTGGGAGGGGCGCTTTCTGGCTTTACCGCAGGGGAGTTCGCGTGCAGGTGTGAAGTGTGAGGGCTTTCCCCAGGGAGAGCGCCGTGCTGGCGGGTGCTCTGGGAGGCACTGGGTCCTCCACCGAATGTCCACCTTCTTGGGTGCGGAATGGGCAGGAGGACGGTAGCCTCCAGCATGGATGCTCTTCCCGTGACCCGCCTGGGACGGGTTTCTGTCCTATCGGCGTGAGCACCTGCCTCCCGCCTCCACTCCCCTCGGGGTGTTTGGTGTTCGGGTGCGCTCGCTCCCTCCCCCGGCGGATCGCTCTGAGCTCTCGGGGGGCCTGACCCCTGTCGCTGCCCTGTGGGGCTGGGCAGGGTTGTCAGGGACGCCCACGGACAAGGCTTTGGGTTGTGGCAGCTGGCGTGAGTGGCCTGCTGGTGGCTCATCTCTTTTAGCAAATTGCCTTCAAGAATCTGGTGCAGAGGAACCGGCAGGCGGAGCAGCAGGCCAGCCGGCCGCCCCCGCCCAACTCCGTCATCCACCTGCCCTTCATCATCGTCAACACCAGCAAGAAGACCGTCATCGACTGTAGCATTTCCAATGACAAGTAGGTCCCGCGACAGGTGCCCACCCCCGCCCCGGGGCCCAGCTGAGCCTCAGGTCGGTGGAGAGCGCCACTGTCACGGGCCGGGGCACGCCCGCTCGTTTTGTCAGAGAAGCATCTGACTTGTCATTCCGCGTCATCTGGCGCAACAAAGTTACAGACTTCTTTCTCACGCCCCTGGTTTCGTGTTCGTCTTGGGAAAGGAAGACCTGGGGCCCGGCAGGGTTGTTACTGGCACAGCTGTCGAACCCTGGTGCGGACAGTGGCTGGGGTTCCGTGCCGGCCGGGAGTGCCCACGCGCGGCGCCTCTGTGACGCTCCAGCGCTTCTGAGTGCATGGGTTTTGGAGGACGTGGGTAAAGAGGGGGTCTGAGGGAGGTTGGCTGAGTGGGTGTCTCTGCTTGGGGCCCTGTGCCGCGATGAACACAGCCAGTGACACCTTTTCTGACGGTGACTTTGCCCCCAGGTTCGAGTATCTCTTCAACTTTGACAACACGTTTGAGATCCACGACGACATAGAGGTCCTGAAGCGGATGGGGATGGCCTGCGGGCTGGAGTCCGGGAGCTGCTCTGCTGAGGACCTGAAGATGGCGAGAAGCTTGGTGCCGAAAGCGCTGGAACCTTACGTGACAGGTCTGTCGCCTCCGGTTCTCTTGGTGGCCGTGGGGCTGGACCTCAGGTCTGGACGTGCAGCCCGCCTTTGCTGAGGCTGAATTCGCACTTGGCACCAGAAGTGGGGACAGCTAGATTGGGGGGTGGGACGCCCGTGGGGACCATGGGGTTTTGGGGGTGGTTGGCCTCCGCAGCCAGGGAACCCAGACAAGCCTCCAAGGAGTGGGGTCCTCTGCCTCCTCCTGACACGGGGGGAGGAAGAGTTTGCTCGGGAGCCGTGTGGGGGACTCCTGTGCTGAGCGGCGGGGTCGGGGCCCCAGAGGGCAGGCGCTTTGTGGTGAGGAAGCTGCTGGCCCTGCCCCACTTTGTGTGGGTGACCCCACAGAGCCGCTGGGCTGGATCGGACCGCACCAGCTCCCAGCCGGCGCACCACAGAGGCCATGGACACTGGCCGTGCTCCTGGTGCATGCCGTCTCCCAGGATGTCGGGTCCTCCCGCCCTGGGCCCCACTTTCCACTTTCCGACAGTGTCCGTTCCGTGGCACAGCTGCGTGGTCATTGGTGATCATGTACATGAAGGTCTGGGTGCCTTCTTGGGAGGATGGCCAGTGTCCCCATAGAGAAACCACCAGCGGGTCAGCTGTCTGGCCTGGACCCGCCTTGTGGCAGCGTGAGCCTCTCTTGTGACCTTTGCCTTGTTTTCTTCTCTTCAGAGATGGCTCAGGGACCCATTGGAGGAGTGTTCGTCACGTCATCGGTGTCGACCTCGAATGGCACGCGGCTTTCTGCCAGGTGACTGTGGCTCTGGGCTGAGCGGGTGGGCAGAGCCCCTGCTCTCCTGCAGACAGTCCGTCCTCCTCCACGGCTCCCGCTGGCTCCCGGCGCGACGGTGGGACTTCCCCACTGGCCATGCTGTCGGTGTTGGCCGCTCCCGGCAGGGCTTCTCTCGGGCTGTGTGCCCCGAAGGTCCACCGTAGCCTGTACCCTGGGTGACCAGGAGCCTCGTTTTTTTCATGGTTTCTTCCCCCTGAAACTTCAAGTGACACGTGATTGACTTTTTAAAAAGTAGCATGCAGTGACGGGGCCAAACTTCCCCGAGCCCCTGTAGGCAGCCCGAGGGCTGGGGGTTTCTTCATCTGTGTTTCCCGTTCCTGCTTAACACACGAGGTCGCGCTGTGCATGAAGCTGTGTGCTCTGTTTTTTTTTTTTTTTTTAAAGATTTGATTTATTTGAGCAAGAGAGAGAGAGCATGAGCTGGGGAGGGAGAGCAGCCGAGGGAGAAGCATACTCCCCACTGAGCAGGGAGCTTGAGCGGGACCCCATCCTGGGGCCTGGGGACCCTGGGACCGTGACCTGAGCCAAAGGCAGACACCTCGCCGACTGGGCCACCAGGAGCTGCTTTTTTTCCTCTTTACTGCTTATTGGATGTGTTACTCCTTCTGTGTTACTGAGGAGTAGTGTGTGCGAGCCTTCGATCTGGCTGTCCCACAAAGCAGAATTGAATCGTTTCTGGGCATTTCTTAGGTTTTTTAAAGACGAGTGTAAGATAATTTCTGTACTAAGTATTCACGAAGCAGTGGTTTTATTAGCTTTCATGTCATGTCATATTATATGTATTACCTTGTATCAACTCTAGATGTTAATAGATGTTTAATTCCTTAACATACGAGATGGATGAGCATTTGGAGGTTCAACAAAATGGGTGGATGTGCCAGCGGGTGGCGCGGTGCGCCGTGGCCGGCTCGCGCTCCAGGGTTCCGGGCCGTGGGCGAGGCTCCTGGCCTGTGCTGCCGGATGGTCTGGCCGTGGGGTCGTCCCTGAAGTCCTTGGGGGGTGTCTGGCCCGAGACCAGCTCCGTTTTTCCCGGTAGCGCGCCAGCTGTGCGTGCGGGGTCAGTCCGCCGAGCTGCCCCGTGGGCGTTCCCAGAGGCGCGACTCGGGTGTTGACTCAAGTTTTGGAGGCTCATCCAGCTTTGTAACACGGCGAGTAAATTCACCACATTTCAGAAGAAAAATCAGTGCAGAGGCTGGCGTTGTTTTGTGAAGACAGTAATTTCTTGGGCAGTTTGGTGTTTCCTGCTCACGAGAACGGATGCAGTTTGAAGCGGTTTATGGCTGAAACTTTTTTACCCTTTCTGACTTTCTTGCTAGGCTGGATTCCACAGATGTGTAGTTCCTTTGTCAACGAGGGGAACGTTGAACAGTGTTCATTGTATGATGTTCCTAAAGGCCAAAAGGCATTAAGATATATACGTATGGTTGCATGTTAAAGAAGAGTGTTTCTTGGCGCCCGAGCTCTGGCCTGTGGCCGGTGTGGGTGCCGTCCACCTGGGGCTCCCCTCTGTGTTGTCCGCTGAGAGCCGTGCCCAGTAGCGCACGCCCCAGACTCCCTCTCTCTCTCATGTAGAGTAGCCACGTCTCCCAGGCGGTTCTGCCCTTCTGGGTCTGTCCTGTTGAGGCAGCGGCGGGGCCCTTCCAGTGGAGTAGCGGAGCCTGAGGCTTCTCCTGGGTGACCCCGAGCCCCTGTGTACTTGTGGGAGGTGCCTGCCTGGAGTCTGAAGGGTCTCCGTTGAGCTTTAAGTTCTAGACTCGCATCCCTTTAACATGTGATGTTTCTTAGCATACGTTTTTTTGCGGCTCAAATACTGAGAAATCCCCGTGACCTCTGATGACAACTCTGTGAGGGGGTCACACACGGTGACACATGCACGTTGGGGGTGAGGGCTGTCGGCACCAGAGCCCCAGGATGCTGTCTGACGGTCAGTGTCTGGGCCACTCTGCCAGGTGCTGGGAGGTCCCTGAACCCAGAGGTCTTTCCTCGGGATCCCAGCCGAGAATCTCTCTGTTGTAGGCCAGGGCCTTGCCCGAGGCGCTGTTGACACTGGGGCCAGGTGCCTGTCATGCACGTGGCACCCTGGGGCTTAGATGGCAGTAGGCGCCCCCCAGTCGTGATAGCAGAGATGGTTAGGTGTCCCCTGTTGAGATTCCCAGGGGCACAGTGGCAACATTGACCGGTTCCAGACGCCCATCCGAGGACCAGGGTGTAGGGCCGAGCAGCCCGGCTTCCCAGAGGCGCCGGCCCTGCAGCCCTGCCCCCCTGCACCCCTGGGCTCTGCCCTGCCAGCCTCGCTGCCTTTCAGTGAGCGCCATTTCCTGGGCTGGCGGACAGCTGTGGGCTTTTCCCAGAGTGTCTGCATGAGACTCACCTGTCCCAGCTCAGCCTCCTGGGCTCGGCGCTGGCTCCGGGGGAGCAGAGGGTGTCGTCGGCACGTGTGTGCACACCGCATCACGCAGCCACACGCACAGACCCCACACCACGCATGCGTGCACACGTGTGCGCAGTCATGCACACGGGCACACTTAACACGTGCACACACGTGTACACGCGCGCACACAGACCCAGCACGTGCACCACACATACATGTGCACACGTGCACAGGCACATGCACACGCAGACCACACGCGCACACACATGCCCTTGAGTACATGCCTACACACCTCGCTGGGTGCTTCCCACACACTGCCGGCTGGGAGCCTTGCTTTGGAGGATTCCTGTCCTTTCCTGGGGCCCCTTTTTCCTAAGCTGCGCCCCCCCCAACCAAGATCCAGGGTGTCACAAGTACACAGCCTGGAAGAAGGAGCTGTGATCTCCAGCTTCAGCGTGTGGGGTTTTGTGTGTGACGTGATCACCGAGCCCGCGGCAGCCAGTGCTGCTTCGGTTCTGAACCGTGGAGGCTGGGCTCGGGGGTGCCGGGTGCGCTGGTGCGGACGTGGGGCTCCCCGCTCTGCCTGACCGCTTTGTCTCGCCTCGTCCTCGCAGTGACCTGACCAATGGTGCGGACGGCATGCTGGCCACAAGCTCCAGCGGGTCCCAGTACAGCGGCTCCCGGGTGGAGACCCCCGTGTCCTACGTCGGGGAGGACGAGGAGGAGGACGACGACTTCAATGAGAACGAGGAGGAGGACTGATGCCTGCCCGCGTCCCACCCTCGCGGTCTGCGTCGGGAGCACTGGTTCGGGAGCGGCTGCTTCTGCTGTGGGCGTGTGTTTCTTTCTGGCCTCCTCCCTGGGACCCGGTGGCGAGCTGCTGACCGGCCACGCGGCTCCGGCGAGCAGGCGAGGGCCGTGTCCCGCGGGGTCTCGGGGTGAGCGGTGGGGTGTCTCCATGCCAGCGGCCACTCGGGCCCCTTCCTCACTGTCTAGGGTTGTGTCTCCATTGTCTGTCCTCATCCAGCCTTCCCTTTGCTCCCCGCCCTTGCCGAGCGCGCCGGAGCACTGGCGTGCCAGCCGGGTCGCCAGGGCGGGCTGTGCCGGTGCACCGTGGGGCTGCCGCCTGTCTGCCGGGGCGTGCGGCCCCTGCTGATGCCGGCCCATCCCGGGGCATCGGGGGGCCCTGGCGCACGGCGGCTCTGCTTTTCCTCGTTCGGCGCCATCAGCTGTATCGTGACTATTTTCCCTTAAATTATATTGACTGTGATTCCGTCCAGTTTATACTTTTCTCTACGTTGCAGCAAATCGCGAAGTTCTGTTTCTGTTTTTGTTCGTCCAGAGTCTCCTGCCGTGCTGCTGCGGCGGCGACCGCGGCGGGAGGCTCGGGCGCGCGTGCCGCTGGGGAGGCCGCCTGATTTCTCCCAGGCGGGCGTGACTCTGGGGTCGTTGTTCACAGGCCAGCACGTCTGTCATCTGAGGACACGAACTGAAACAAGCGTCTTTGTTTCGTGGCCGCCTCCTGTAATCTGTGATGAAGTCGACATTAAGTAGAGAGAACGTTCTAACAGTTTTTTAACTCAGAATTTGTCAATCATTTTTAATAGTTCTTTTTTTATAAGAAGAAAAAGGAATTTCAGGACAGGCAGTGGTCCCTTTTAAAATTTATTCACAAAGACCCATTAACCGCACAGTTGCTGTCAGCTGCCTGTTCTAAACAGTAGTCTTTTTATTGAAACACAAATAAACTTTTCTGTAATATTTTATGGAATATAAAGAGACTTTAATTGTTTGACTTGTTTAACTTGGCACTGTTAGTTTTTATTAATAAAACGCGCATGGGCATTTTAAACAAGTTCTCTGCTCCTCTACTTCCAGATTCTTGTCCACATGTCACTCTGTCTCCCCTGTCAGTCTTGCTTCTCGCCGGGCGAGGGCAGGCGGCCAGGCCGGACAGGGGCCCGGGGCACACACCGAAGCCCGCCCTCCACTGTGCGCTCCGTGGCACGGCCCCGCGCCCCTCCCGGGTCCTTGCAGTTGAGACAGGGTCGGGGGTTTGGCATTCAGACGCGAGGTCGTACGGTGAGGAAGGACCGCAAAGTGGTGTGGACGGTGGAGGAGTGTCGCCTGTGCGGGGGTGTCCGCGGTGCTGTGGGGCAACGGGCAGCCGGTGTGGTCTTGCCGGTCGTGACCTCCCTCCGCTGTCGAGGGCAGCAGGCGCTGGAGGGTGGTGGCCCGGCGGCTCCGTGCTCACCGGGTGCCGCGGGCCCGAGGTGGCCTCCCTGCGGGACCCGTGGAGCTGGCGTGGGCGGGGGCCACTCGCAGAGGGCGCCTATCCTCGGGGTCTGACAGGCTTCCACCCTCAGCCGTGTGGGACTGTGTTGCTCTCTGGGAGGCGACATTGCACCTGGTGCTTGCGTGGGGTCAGGACACCAGGTCGCGCGGTGGCTGGGGGTGGGGGCGCTCCGGGAGAGCAGGTCGGTTTGATCAGACGCTTTTGTGCTGGGCTTTGGTGCAGGGCCTGGAGTGAGCCGCCCGCACGTCCCTGGGTGATGGAGGGTGGGCTCGTGTCCGTGGCTTCCTGTGGGGCTCAGCCCACGTGACGCCCTCTCGCCCCGCTGCTCACCTCCTGCAGGTGTGCAGGCTCCCGGGGCAGCCATGCTGCGGCCTCGTCCGAATTTCCCTGACGGGGGTGGGGGGGGGACTTGAAGAAGGTTTCCAAAGAGAAAGTGATTTTGTTGTTACGTTTTGCCCTTATCAGAAAAGACATGATTGTTTTACGCAGAGTAAGAGTGACTTTAATGTTTTATTTTTACAGTTTAGGAATTCTGTAAGAGCAAACCTTCAGGACGCCCATGCTCGTAAGTCCTGATCTCTGGGAGCGTGAGCCGTCTCCACGTGATGCGGTGCCGGGACTGCGGTGAGGAGCGTGCCGTCTGCCTGAGCCGTCCTCAGGGCCTGGTGGTCGGGCAGCTGCTGCCTCGCAGTTACCACCTTGGCCCAGGTTGTTACCGCAGCTCCGGATTTGGGGTCGAAGGGAGAAAGGAGGGCGCGAGAGGCCGCTGACTCTGCCCGAGGTGCTCGGGGCACAGGCGCCTGCCGGCCGTTCCCTGGGCGGGCCGCGGAGCACTAGGCCTGGTGGGGGGCAGCAGGGGCCCGCGGGGCAGGCCGGCCTCCCCCCTACTGCCGAATGTTGAGCTTGAACTCCACTTTCCCTTCGTAGGGGTCGTGGGGGTTGTCGAACGTCACGTGGTCGGCCAGGATCTTGCACACGACGAGGACCTCCGTGTTTCTGGGGACATTGAGCAGCTTTGCGGCGACCAGAGGGTTGCTGTAGTGGGGCTGGAGCCCGTGCGGGAAGACGGAGGAGGACAGCATGAGGAGCGGCTCGACAGGGGCCGGTCGGGTGGCAGAGAAGTGGCGCCTGCTGCTCTGCCTGCACGGGGCACGTGCGGAGACGCACTGTCCCCACTGAGGGACGAGGGGAGCTCGTCTGGGCTCGGGGGATAACACCAGGGACGAGTTCAAGTGCAGACTATATTTGATGAGAATTACCATGAAGATAGGAGAGATTGAGAGATCTGAAGGCTGTGCCTTAACGTGGATATATGGTTGTCTGAAAGGATTTGGGAAACTGAAACCATTAGGTTTGGTATTGGCGTTTCGCATGGGAGCTGTGTTTTCAGGTAGGGGCACCCGGAGGGCCGCACGGTGTAGCGGGAATGTCGCGCTCGGTTTGGGACTCGTGTGCGGCGGTTGTCGGAGAACTGAGACGCGGCCTACCTGCGCCTTCTTGCCGTAGTAGGGGAAGTAGTGGAGGCTGAAGGTGCCGTTGGGCGGGTAGTACTCCACCTGGAGGGGCCGGGCGTCCTCGTGCGGGTCCTGGGGGCGGAGAGGCCGGCGCCTGAGTGAGGCAGGCTCCAGGCGTCTGCGTGTGTCTGCGTGTGTGTGAGTGGCCCGGCGGGCGGCTGGAGCTCGGCAGAACGCGGACGGAGGACACCTTGTGTCTGTTCAAAGCTCAGGTCAGCACACGTGGGTGGTCCCAGGAGACACAGCCTCACCCCACAGCGAGGCGGGCATGGGGGGTTGGGTGCTGCGGAGCCCCTGGGGGGAAGACCAGCCTCAGAAGAGACTCAGTGGAGACATGTTTGTTTTTTGGGGCTTGTGCTTTAAAACCGGTTTTGAGAAAAACTGGAGGAAATTACTGCTGACTCTTAGCGAGTTTTTCCAAACTGCCACCAAACGCTCAGAATGGTGGGAGTGCTAACACCGTCCCAGATGCTTCCTGGGCCCGGCGGTGACGGAGATCACTTTCCTTACTGGTTTTAGTCCCCTGCAGTGCTGCTCGGGGGCGGGGCTGGGTCCCGGGGGGCAGCCGCAGGGAGCTGAGGGCCGCGGGGAGCTGGGGGCCAGTGGCTCTGGCGAGACCACACACTCACCAGGAGGGTGCAGTCCACCCTGGGCGCTGTGCCGTTGCTGGGCAGGAAGTTCACGATCTGGAAGGAAAGGGCGTCCGTGTCGCGCTCCCACCGGCTGCGTGCGAGCGAGCGGCCAGAACCCTGCCCCACACGGTGGTCTTGGCTGCCGGCGCATGGCAGGGCTGGACGGGAGGTCCGAGCCGTGGCTTGCACTCTCTGGCACTCCATGGTGCCTGTGACGGGGTCCCCTGGGTGCCCGCCTGTGCTGCCCCACACATACTCTCTGGCCTCCCGGGTCCCGGCCGTGTGTGTGCCTGCGCCCGCCCCACAGTTCTGCCCTGGTGCACATGGCTCCCTCCACCAGGCAGCGTCGTGACCCCGCAGGGACCCTGGAGTGTGCCGTTCAGGTACATGGCTTCCCCGGGTGTCTCAGGAAGGAAGTTTAATCGTGCTGCACACCTGTTGGCCAACATGGAGCAGAGACCCCCCCCCCCGGCCCTCTTGTCCTGTTGGCTTCCAGTGGCATGTCCCCTCCCCTGCACCCCAAGGCTGGAGGGACCATGCCGCCCTGTGGTTTGCTGGCACCAGCCCGTTCAGCCTCCCTCGTGCCCGGCAGAGGGTCCCTGGCCCAGATGGGGAACTACTGCTCGACATCGTTCCCAGCCATCCTCGTGGCACCTGACGTGGCCCGGCTGCTGGCAAGCTGTGTGTGCACGCAGCTGCCCTGAGCAGCCCCAACTCTGAGCTCAGCGTCCAGTGCAGAGCCTGGAGCCAGGGCAGTGTCTGAGCTGTTCATGTTGGATCTTGGTCAGCTCCCAAGCCAGCACGATGGGCCTAGCATGCCTAGCAGAGGAGCAGGGTGGGACGGGCTGCGGCGCGTGTCCCAGCCTTACCAGCCTGGACCCTGTGCTGGGGTGCATGGGGTCACACGAGGGCCAGGCACCCAGGCCCCTCCAGGCCACGGCTGGGTCTGGGGTCTGTAGCCCCACCCCGTGCTCACCCTGTTCATCTTAATGATGAAGCACGGCTTTCCTTCTGCGAAGCCGAAGTTGGGGTCCGTCAGCCCTGAGCAGTTTTGCAGCATGTCTGCTGTGAACTTGCAGGAGAACTTGGTGTGGTTTGGGGCCTGGAAGCTTTCCTGGAAGAAGTACTTCTCGGAGCTGCAGTTGATGCTGTCCTCCTGGGAAGCTGGCGAGTAGCCTGCCAGGACAGACGAGCCTGTGGGCGCCAAACCCGGCCACAGCCACCTGGGGTGGTGGGGCTGGTGGGAGGGTGGGGAAGCCCGTACCCTCCCTGAGATGGTCTTAGAAGAGGGAAGAGCAGAGGTGGGAAGCGTTTTAAACGTCACCTGCCAGGAAGTTGTGGAGCGTGTGCACGAGGTCCACCCAGGTCCTGTTGTCAGAGATGTTGTAGGAAATGTCCAGGCCTTTCTCCCCGTAGACATCTGGCCGCAAGGTCACCCCTGGAGGGAGAGCACGACACATCTTACTCCGTTCCCCACAAAGTGCTGGTCACATCCCAGCCACTTACTGCAGAAATGGCCCGGCCCGGTGGCCAAGCGTGGGCTGCTGTGGTCCTGGCCAGTCCTGGGTCCTTGGGCCCTGGGCAAGGAGGCTGCGGCCAAGTGTCCTGCAGTAGGAGCTCAGCAGGGACCCGCCCGCCCGGGAACTGAACCGC